TGGGTCCTAGAGCAGATCAAGCCAGAAAACTCCCTGGAAGCCAAGATGCCCAAACTGAGGCTGTCACACTTTGGACACATCATGAGAAGGGAAGACTCTTTGGAAAAAACAAATAATGCTAGGAAAGCTGGAGGGAAGCAGAGAGAGGAAGTCCACATGTTAAACGGATGGACTCTGTTAAGGAGGTCACAGGTATTAAGCAGAGCAGTGGAGGGCAGAGGATCTTGGAGATGTCTCATCCATAGGGCCATCATGAGTCCAGATTGACTTGAGGGCAGTTAACAACAACAACAACAGTACAGAATATGGATGCTGGTTGATTCAACACAAGTGAAAGGCTGCAGCATGATGACTGATGTGGCATATCATCAACCACACCATATAGGATATACCCAGGATGACACAGCAAGTGACTGATGAGACAATCATGTCATGGACAAAGTGTATACATATGCTTGTGTCCCAAGTTCTGTGTGGGTTGCTGTTGTTAGTGGATGTATGGTGGGTTAGTTGTTGGTTTGTATATAGTGCTGTAAATACTCTGTAGTAAAGCTCTGTATATAGAACTTGGAGACTCTTGAAGCTGCTTTGCTTTGAGTTATTTTCTAACACCTTGCACAGTTATAGGTGCTCACAGTATTGCTGAGCATTGCTATCTATTTGCATGTGCTCAGACAGAAGGACCACAGGTAATACATGGCTCTGATACACACGTTCATGTAGACTAGCCCTTGACTAGCAGTGTAAGGACACCACAGCTTTTAAAAGAAGTGTTTGCACATGATGAAATGGACCTGTTTGTGCCATGTTGCATGCTCAGAAAAGTGGAGTGAATAGGCAGTGAAAGCAAGGAAGAGCAGTGGCAGGGCTGTAAGGCTCCAGGGACTTAGGTCCAAAGCACAATGCAAAAATAATCCAGTTTGAAACTGGTTTAATTGCCCTGGTTAAATGCTAGGGAATCCTGGGGATGGTAGTTTATTGTGGCACCAGAGCTCTCCGACAGAGAAGGCTCAATGTCTCACAAAACTAGCTTCCAGAATTCCCTAGCATTGAGGCAGGGCAGTTAAAGCAGTCTCAGACTGGGTTATTTCTGCACTGTATTTTGGACCTTAGTTAGATGTAGGCCTTGGCAAGGTGTCCAGCTAGAGCTGCCCTGCCACTAGCCCTATGGGTGGACTCAGAAAACGAGACCAGAGCCTTTACCCCCATTGCTCAGCAAAGCAGCTTGGGCTCCCTGCAGCGCAAGGGTCATTCCCACTTAGGTCTTGTCCTACCCTGATGCATCTTTTCTGATCATTTACCCTCAGTCTGGCCTTTAACGCAGTCATTTAAGCTTGTTCAGTAAAAGTATTTTTCTATTGCTCTGAGGCTCTTGTTTTACCTTTGTTTTGAATTTTAGAACTTTAGAGTGAATTTCTAAAAAATGTATCAAGCAGCCCCATTCCTATCCCAATGGAGGAAGCTAATCGAGGTTTATAAATGTGTCTCTGGCACGGTTCATTACCTGTGATGACATATTGAGAGCCATGAATGGTCTGATACCAGCAAA